CACACACACACACACACACACACACACACACACACACGGGCTGTTGGTCTCGCATCTCAGCTGTCCCCGACACACACACACACCCTACACACACACACACACACACACACACACACCCTCCACACACCCCCTGCCTGCTCCCCTTTCCCGTGCCACCCTCCACACACACACACACACACAGACACACACCCTTTTTCTTTTCCCCAGTTCAGTGACCTTTCTCTCCTTTTGGTCATGTTATGTTAGTTTTAAGGCTCGTTCACAGTGGTCTTCGGTCTCTCATGCACTTGTTTGGGGTCTTCAGTTCACCTTGGAGTTTTGTCGCTGGCTGTTGCTGCTTCTGCTGCCCCCGGGGGCTGGTTCTCATTTTGTGCTGGAAGCGCCTTAGCTTTCGGATCCTAATGAGGATTTGGGGATTGGCCAGGTTCTTACTTCAGGCGCCCCCTTCTGGCCGCACAGCAAAGTGCACGCTGGAGTGGGTGGCTTTCATTCCAGACTCAGAAGGGGCGTGTGGCCTTGGTGATTTTTTGTTTCTTGTTTGAGACACTCCTTTTCCCCCTTTGTTCTCCTTACACTGCCTCCCCCGCCCCCCGAGGAGCCTGTCTGCCTTTGCTGCGCCAGGGGCTGCCCCCCAGCCACATCCGGCTGCCAGGACTCCCAGGAGCCTCCCCTACAGGAGGTGCCGCACAGGCCTCGGGTCCCCTTGTCCCTCCCGTTTCCTCCTGACGCCCTCGGGCTCGGTGGGACGCTCGGAGGCAGTGTCTCGGCTGGCTTCTTGACCTGGCTCTGCTGTCCTGCTTCTGGGTAGTTGAATGTCTGCACTGTCCCTGCGTCCCGGCTGGGCCGAGAGTTTGTCCCCGTGTGGTCCTCGGGGTTCCTGTCCTGATGGCTCCCTTTGACCTGGGGGCATCCCACCCAGAGGGTCTGGGTGTGTGTGAGGTTATGTCCTTGCCGGTTTTTGGACCTATGACGTCCCTCCTTTGATGAGTGCTGGTGACAGTAGGTGGCAGTTGATTTTCCGTTTCCTAACTTTGCAGAGCCAGTCTGCTGACCCAGTGTTGGTCCCCCGTGTGTACTGGAGCTGTACTCCTTAGCCAGCTGCCCATGTGGGGGCAGCACAGTCATGAACAGTCCCGCGGCTTGGATGGGAGGCTGAGACCAGGGCGCCCTGGCTCGCTCTGCAGGGGCCGCGAAGTAGCCGCCTACGGAGAGAGGAGCAGGGTTAGCAGCACGCATGCAGCCTCCAGAAAGCGCGGTGTCCGCGCAGACTGAGGACAGAGCGGGAGTGGGGGGCACTGAGGTGGGGGTGGCCTGCAGGTCCATCAGGGCTCTTGCTCCCGGTGGAGGTGAGGCCACCTGCTGAGAGGGCAGGAGGGTGTCACACCGGAGGTGGCTGCTCTGGAGGAGACCTCCGGCAGAGCCGCCACTGATGCAGGTGATGGCACGGGGCCTGGCGGGGATGCCCACCTGTTTCTCGGCCCCTGTCCTCCACCTGAAGGCCATGGCCTGTCTCCAGGTTGGATCGTCAAACGCAGGCTACAACCCTGGTCCATCAGATTTTTGGAGGCTATCTCCGATCTCGGGGTAAGTGGAGAAACGTCCTGTGTCCCTTCTGGCCGGGGATTAGAGTGTTAACCCGAAACCCTTCGCGTTGGTGCCCAGGCCGACCTGCTAGGCCCCCAAGGCCTCCAGCCTGGTCTGTGCCCTGCAGCCCCGCCTGCAGCCTTCCTGGGAAGGGGTTTGGAGCAAAGTGTCCAGAGCCTGTAGACACGCTGGTGTTGCTTTTCCTTGGACTCCATAGTTAATCAGACGTGGCTGCTGCCCTTGGTGTGGGGGTGAGTGCCCCTGGCCGGGCCAGCCAGGCATCTCAGGGTTTGCCCTCCTCTCTTCCTGAGCACTTCCCGTCCCGGGATCTCAGGGAGCTGGGAGCGTGCCTCCAGTTCTCGGACTTGAAAACCTGGGGGACTTGGGGGTGGTGGCCCGGGGCCCTGCATCCACCCCACCGTCCCCTTGTTCTCTCGCAGTGAAGTGCTCCATGTGCAAGAGCGTCTCAGACACCTACGACCCCTACTTGGATGTGGCGCTGGAAATCCGGGTACACACCTCATGCTGGTTGATGTTCATTTGCGTTAGGACTGGGAGGCCGGAGGGCAGAAAACCCAAAACATGAAAACCAATCAGGGCATGTGATCCAAATAGATCAGGAAAGCTACTTGGAATCCTACATTTTTGTGTATTTCCTGCTAGCCATTTTTCTCTGTGTTCCTTTTTTCTTTTTCCAAGAAGGAAGGGTAAAAAGACAGTTTTGTGCCCTCAGATGTGAATTGCGACCCCACTGAGTGCAGGGCTTGAGCAGGGAGGCCTGTGTGGTGTGGGCAGCTTCCACACAGAGGGCGCACCATTCCGAGCAGCCTTCCTCTGTCCCTGCTCTGAGGCTGCCAGAGCCGAGCTCACCTCAGCCTGAGGTTTGGATCAGACCCGCCGTGGCCGTGGTAAACTCCTGGGGCTATGATCCTGGTCCAGAGAGAAGGGGTAACAGCCTGGCTCCCCGTTGCCTCTGTGATGGGATGCTCTGACTCCCAGAAGGCAGCAGCTAGCAGGCCAATTCTTACGCAAGTGAAGTGCCGTGATTTGCTGCCTCAGCCTGAAAAAGACCTTACATTTGGCATTTCTGGAGTCAGCCTTTTTCTTCCACTGTTTACTGTACTCCCTGTTTCTGTCCTTCTCAGCAAGCTGCAAACATCGTGCGTGCTCTGGAACTTTTTGTGAAACCAGATGTCCTGAGCGGAGAGAATGCCTATATGTGTGCAAAGTAAGTTTCGGTTTGATTGTGGCCAAAAAGATCAAGCCGGCCAGCAAGGTAAAATACGTCACCTAACCTGACCTGGCTGCCGTCCCCTCCCTCGCCCTCAGAGGTGACCACCATCCGTATTCTGACTCTCTCTTTGGCCAAGCCTTGTGGCTTGTGGGGTCTCGGTTCCCCTAGCAGGGATTGAACTCGGGCCACAGCAGCGACAGCGCTGAGTCATAACCACTGGACCGCCAGGGGACTACTGGCCACCATCCTCATTCTTGAGTGGGATAGTATGTCTTAAAACTAAAAGCCTCGAAACAACACAAATGATAGTTATGGTTGTCCTAGCTGCCACTTGTGTGGCAGTTACCCCAGGCTGGTCTCTGTTCTGAGGGGCTCACGTGCACGTGCGTGTGAGGCAGAGCCTGTTGTTACCCCCATTCCACAGGAGGAAAAACTGAGGCCCAGAAGTGGGGTGATTACACGTGGAGGCCATCCTGCTGCTTCGATGAGCCATGCCCTGCAGCTTCCGTTTTGGACTTGAGTGGTCTTCGGCATTTTTCCATTTCAGCAGACATGACTCTAACCTTCTCTTTAGGGTTGTACAGTCTCTGTGGGTTTGTTACCTTACTTATAGGTCATTTTTTGGTTTCAGCAGGCGTGACTCTAACCCTTCTTCTCTTTAGGGTTGTATAGTCTCAGTGTGTGGGTGTGTTACCTAATATCCAGGTCATTAAAAGCCATAATCACTAAAGAAAGTTTCTCTCCCTGTGTTTTTTTAGGTTTATGATTCTGTGCCAGAACCCTGCTTTTTGTCCCTCTCGGTTCACGCCCCTTAGCTCTAGAGGCTGTTCACTTTGGCCTCTATCTTCTCCCCCTTCATTTCCTCTTCTTCTGGCTTTGCTTTTGGTGATTTCCTGCCTGCCTGTTTATCTCTTGGCCACATCTGCTTAAATTTGTTTTTTCCTGTGTTAGCCCTGTTATTTTTCCATGCCTCTGACTTAGTCTCCCGGTGGGAAAAGTACTTCGTTTTTGTGTTAGAATCTCCGCCTTTTTTCTAGTCCTTGTCCTGCTGTAACTTTCCTTTTCTTAAGTGGTGTTGATTTGACTTTTAGGGGTGCAGAGGGCACAGTCTCATTCAAGAAGACTCCTTGTTGAAGAGCAGGTCCCAGGAGACTTCCCTGGTCCAGTGGTTAAGAATCCGCCTGCAGGGCAAGGGGCAGGGGTTCCATCCCTGGTCGGGGAACTAAGATTCAAGTCTGAGAGCAGCTAAGCCCTTGTGCCACAGCTAGAGCATCCTTGCACCACAACAGAAGCTCCCACTTGCTGCCAGTTGCTGCCACTAAGACCTGAGGCAGCCAAATAAGTAAAAATTAAAAAAAAAAAAAAGCAGGTCCTGATGTTCTGCTACTAACCTTGTGAAGACAGCAGTCCTCAGAGCACAGGCCAATAGCTCTTCCTCTCCCCTTCCTCGCAGATGCAAAAAGAAGGTTCCAGCCAGCAAGCGGTTCACCATCCACCGGACGTCCAACGTCCTGACGCTCTCGCTCAAGCGCTTTGCCAATTTCAGTGGGGGGAAGATCACCAAGGTGAGCCCTCGAGCCAATGCCCTGGACCTCATAGTCGGCACTTTTTAAAATTCAGATTCCAGGCTCTGTTTCAGAGAGAGTAGATTCAAGTCTCTGGAAGCCAGGGTCCAGGAGCCTGCATATCTGCAAAAATCCCTAAACGATTGTTAGGCAGTCAAGTTCAAGAACCTCTTTTTTTCCCCCAAACTCTGCCTGTGCTTGGGGTGTTCCTGCAGTGGAGGGTCCAGGTGGCTTTAAGAATCAAGGTGACGAACGCCGCGCTCTGTAGCTCCCGTCTCCCGTGTCCCATTTGTCCCCGGAGCAGGTGCAGCCCTGGCTGTGCTTTGTGGAGCGTAGAGTAAAAGGTTTCTGCGGAGTGGTGGTGCAATAGACGGTGCCTCGTTTCATAAGGGTCTGAAGACCTGTTCTCAGCTGCTAGGGCCTAGCTGTGTGATTTCGGGCAAGGCGCTTGTCTCAGTTTCGGTGTCCTCACTGGTGGTGGTGGGGGCTTGTTTAGGTCGGCATTTCCCAAACTGCTGTTCTGCAGGACAGTAGCATGGTACTCTGAAAGATGTTCTGTGTTCAACTGAGCTTGGGAAACGCCGACTGACGTTAAAATAATTCTTTTCTTTTTTTTATTATTAATTTTATTTATTTTGGCTGTGCTGAGTCTTGTTGCTGCTTGGGCTTTTCTCTAGTTGCGATGCTCGGACTTCTCGTTGCAGTGGCTTCTCTTGTTGCAGAGCACAGGCTCTAGGGCACCCGGGCTTCACAGGTTGGGGCACGTGGGCTCAGTAGTTGAGCACAGGCTCAATAGGTGGGGCACGCGGGCTTAGTTGCTCCGTGACATGTGGGATCTTCCTAGAGCAGGGATTGAACCTATGTCCCCTGCATTGGCAGGCTGATTCTTTACCACTGAGCCACCAGGGACGCCCCTAAAACAGTTGTTTTTAATCGTAGGCCTCCTCAGAGCCTTTATTAAGCTGTGTTGCATTTTGAATTTCCCAGGGGAATTTATTATGATTAATAAAAGACCCAATTGTTGAGGGAGTCACTCATTCCTCCGTTTTACTGACACTCGCGTGTTTACATTGCACTACGCCATGCGAGGCTCTAGGAAATCAGGGGGAGATGATCAGTGCTGAATGAGGTCACATTGCTTCTGCCCAGAGGAGCTCACGTTTCACCATAACACCTCCTGAAACCAGTTTGCTGTTAGAACACAGTTTGAGAGACACTGGCCTGTGTGATTTCGGCCCTCTGTCCGGCAAGACTAGACTGGGGCTCCTGAGCCTACTGGGTGTGTTTGCCTTGAAGATTTCTGAGACTGTCAATAGATGAGAAAAGACATGTAGGTGAATAGTATGACATTCTGTTGAATTAAAGAAGCCAGACACAAATAGGTACTGACTATATGAGCCCCAGGAACAGGCAGCAGTAACGCTGGCCATGGGCTCGGAACAGGGGTCCCAGGATGGGGGCATTCCCTGGGCAGAAAGGGGTTTTCTGGGCCCATGTCTCTCTCTAGAATGGAGCGTGGGTTGCCATCAGTGGAGGCGGGTCAGAGCTCAGCAAACTGTAAACTCCTCAGAGTTACGTTTTTCGCTCCATGTAAATTGTGCCTCATTTTTTTAAAAAACCTGTGTGAGCACAGGCAGTAATTGCAGTACATTATACCCCTATCGTTCAAGGCTCACTTTCAATAGTATTTTCTTATGAAAGATTGTTCATTCCTGAAATAAACTTTGACGTGACCTTTGTCCTGATCCATTAAAATTTTAACTTGCCGTTGCAATTGCCCATATGGAGTCAGCCTGTTTTTCTGAAGCCCTGGGTCCCTGCCCTGTCCCCTGCCCTCCCCTCAAAGCCTTCTGTATGGGGACGGGCAGGAGAACGAACAGCTCTCCTCCTGTATGTGGGACCCAGGTAGCAAGAGAACCAGTCTGGGCGTACGGCCGACACAGGAGACCGCAAATCGCTTGCCGGGACAATGAAGTAAGAGTTTCTCAGAGAAACTCCCTTAAAAAGGATGCATTTTCTGCTTTCTTTTTAAACCACTGACCAGAAGAGGCCCCTGCCTGTCACACCACATCGTTCAAGACCCACTGATGGGGAGGGTGAGTAGACCCTTACTCTCAGTGGTGAATTGTAATTGCCTGTTCCTTGGCTCTTCCAACAGGATGTGGGCTACCCAGAGTTCCTGAACATCCGCCCGTACATGTCCCAGAGCAGTGGCGAGCCTGTCATGTATGGGCTGTATGCGGTCCTCGTCCACTCGGGCTACAGCTGCCACGCCGGCCACTATTACTGCTACGTGAAGGTCCGTGGCTCTGGTGTCGGCATCCGGCGGCCTCGGGGGGGGTGGTGTGTGTGCTGCCTCCTGGCCGGCGGGTGAGGAGAGGCAGGTTGGCGGTGCCTGTTTGCGCAGCTCCAGGTGGGCCGTCATTACACTCTGGGAAGTGGCCCTGTTTTGTGGTTACGTCCAGGTCCTATTGCTGCTTCTTCATGGAGCACAAAGACATCCTTCTGACCTGTCCCACTCAGTTTGGTCCCACTTTTGAAGGCCTTGCAGTGAGACACAAAGGAGGCTACTTTCGGTACCCTGTTCTTAGACCCTTGAAGAAGTCTCAGAAGGCCAGATGTTGGTGGGAGAGGCTGTGCCAAGCAGACCTTCCAGAAGACCCTTCAGGAGGGAAAGCTTGCATCTTTGGGGTTCCAGGAAGGATGGGGGGCCCAGCACACTTGGGGTGCATATTCAGAGTTAGCTATTCGGCATTTTTGTGGGAAATCATTGGAAAAGACCTTGATGCTGGGAAAGATTAAGGGCAGGAGGAGAAGAGGGCAACAGAGGATGAGATGGTTGGATAACATCACCAACTTCACGGACATAAGTTTGAACAAACTCCGGGCAATAGTGAAGGACAGGGAAACCTGGCGTGCTGCAGTCCTTGGGGTTACCAAGAGTCAGACATGACTAAGCGACTGAATAACAGCATTTGCTAACTCAAACTCAGATATATGTGGCAGTTGAAAGGTTTGTTCCTTCCCTTGTTAAAAGTAAGGATCACAGAAGTGTTGATCATTTGGTTTTCATCCTCACCCTCTGCTGCTTCAGGCAAGCAACGGACAGTGGTACCAGATGAATGACTCCTTGGTCCATGCCAGTAACATCAAGGTGGTTCTGAACCAGCAGGCCTACGTCCTCTTCTACCTGCGGTAACCGATTCCCCACTCCATCCCCTCTCCCCAGAGCCCGCACCTCCACTCTCGCCCTGACCAGCCTCCCTGGCCTTTTCCTGTGTGAAAGTAACCGAGAAATCTGAAGGACGGAAGAGCTGTCCTCCGGCCAGTCATGGGTAATAGAGCGCGGCCACCGGGAAGGATGCTTAGACTGCGTCTGCCTGGCTGCTGAGTCAGAGCCAGAGCCCGAGGGAAGGTCGGAGTGCAGTCCATCTGCCCCACGTGGGGGTGACTTGGCACATAAATGGGAAGGCTGTCTGGCATTTTACGCTATTGCCCCCGATTAACTGCACTCCGTCTGGGTATTGGCTCGCCCCCACCCCGTCCTCTGGGGGGTTGTGGTCCTGGTGGGCAGGGAAGTGGGTCAACAGAGGGTGGAGGCCTCGGGAGGTGCATCTTCCCGGGACTGGTGGTCACCCACCTGGAGGATGAGGACGTGGCAAAGGGTGGTATTCTGCTGCTTCAGGCTGACTTTTTAATAAACTGAGAATCTAGCTTTGGAAGAGCTCTCGAGTGATTTGCTCTCTGCTTATATTGAGTGACCTCCAGAGCTATGTAGTAAGTTCTCGTGGTCTGCCTTTGCTTGGTCCCCACCGCTTTTTTTTTTTTTTTTCTGGCCGTGCCACTTGGCTTGATGGACTCAGTTCCCAGATCAGGGATTGAACCCAGGCCGTGACTGTGAAAGCCCGGAATCTTAACCACTGGGCCACCAGGGAACGCCCTGCTTGCCACCCCCCATGAAACTGTAACCTTGACTTTGGTATTCTGATTTCTCCTCTCTCACTTTGAGTCAGGCCTCTGCAGCTTCAGTAAGGCATCCCTGCCTCCTTCTGTCCCTTTGACAGGATTCCAGGCTCTAAGAAGAGTCCCGAGGGCTCCATCTCCAGGACGGCCTCCTCCTTTGCCAGCCGCCCCGGCGTGGTTCCGGACCCTGTCCGGAAGAATGTCAGCAATGGGACCGCAGCCTCCCCAGTGACCGGAAAGGTACTTATTTAAGAGGATCGATGGAAACCTCGCTGTCCTTGCGGCCAGTGCCTCTCAGAGTATCATGGAATGCCCCCCTCCCCGCCCCGACCTCTGCACACTGAGGGACTTGGCCCAATTGAAGGAGAGCACAGATGGCTGTCCTGCTCTGTTCCATGTTCTTTCTGAAGCAGGTTACGGGGCCGATGCTGGTGAGGAAGAGGGAACAGTGGATAGAAAATGCAGCTCAGCAGATCAAGACTTAGCTGCCAGCTGCCTTACACAAGTGCAATGACAGGTCCCCCAAGCACACCTTAAGCACCTGGGAAAAATACTTTATCCCCACATTTTAATACTGAAAGTGTGAGTAGTTTGTACCAGGGTTAATTTCCTGATTTTGATAGTTATACTACGGTTGTGTTAAGAGAACGTCCTTCCTTTCTTCTGAGGAATACTTGGTGTTTATGGAGGTAAAAGGATGTCTTTTGTTTAAAATTTACTCAAGTGGTTTGAAAAATATATATGTATATACACATGCATATGTTGATATGTATATGGAAGGAGAGAGAGCCGGAAACTTAATGTGGTAAAGTGTTAATGATTAAGGGATATCCCTTGAAGTTTTTTTTTGTATGTATTGGAAATTTCCTACTAAGAAAAAGTTAGCTCAGTTTTATTACCGAGATAAGTAGCAATTTCCTTTATTACAACATAATTCTTAATTCAAAACTGGAACAGCTGTCTCTGTTGACTGCTTCTGTGATCCCAGTCTGAAGATAAATCCAAACCCAGACTGTCAACGGTCTCCACAGCCTGCAAGGTTTTTAGGCTTTTACGAAAATCTGTTTCCCTGCCAGTGTTCAAGAAAATAGAAGTTGAAATAGAAACATTGGAATTGACACAGCAGTGATGAGCTGTGACACAGTTGCAAGGGTGATGGTCACTCTGACCAGAGTAGGAAAGCCAGAAGCCTCAGTCACTGCTCAGAGGAACAGCAAGGAGTGCAGGGGTACCTGAGGGTGAGCATGGGTAACCCTGGGTTAGGCTGGGTTAGCAAGGCCACTCCACTGACAGTGTGTGTTTTCATTACGAAAGGAACTTTCCAAATACACTGCAGTTGCCCAGAAGTCATTTTACTTTAAATAACATTGTATGGTCCCAGGTACTTAAACGCTCAACGATTGAACAGGTTGTGTAGCACAGTGGGAAGGTGTATTCCCTTTAGGAAGAAGATTAATAAAGAAATCATGATCTAAGTGACTTCAAGTCACTCTGTGGCCTGTGCAAAGGATACGGGTGCTTAATGATTCAAAGTAGTATCAATTTAGCAAACATTTTGGGAATACCTCATTGCTGGTAAGAGGATAGTAAATTCAGTGTGGCAATATGCATCCTAATTTATGAAAATACTAATAGCCTAGTCATTCTATTTCTTTAAAAAATGAGTATGGAGTACTAAATACAGGAGAAGATTCAGTTTTTTGATTATTCATTGACAGGTAGTTACTAAGCGTAGGACCTTGACCTGTTGGGAGGGGGAGGTGACTGGTCACGGTGAGTGGCCCTGGTGCAGGCCTTGGGGAGCGTTTCAGGGTGTGGGTGGTATAGACCCGGGTGTGACGGTGCTGTGGAGAAGGATGGGGCACTTAGCCCCCAGCTGGTCATTTCAAGGCTACCTGGAGCCAGTCTAGTTCCTAAGGTCTTCGCACGGTGAGCTGTCTGCTAGTCAGACGTCACAGACCTGTGTTGAGGGCCCGAGTATGCACGTGCTACCGTGCATGGTTGGAACTGAGGCGCCCATGTTGGCAGAGAAGCCCATAGGGAAGGACACTAGCATATCAGTCGGGTTATGTTTAGGGGATGGATGGAACTTGGTAAATTTTTTCCCTTTACACTATTTTTGTATTTCTCAAATCCTGATGAAAATGTATAGTGATGCACACCCATTTGTGCAGAACTCAGGAACTGCTGAAAAGAAGTAGCGATGCCTGTATTGTGTGCCCGTGTCAATAATTTGTTTGGAGTGGCTCCTCCAAAGCTCCCACCTGCTGCCTCCTTGTGGGGGCTGTCCCCGCTCCCTCTAGCTTTGACCACATCCTCTGCTTTGCTCCTCTCTTAGAGACCAGACCCTGTGACAATGAAGAAGCCACAGACCCCCGAAGAACTTGGGGTGCCCATTGCCAGGAACGGCTCCGTGTTGGGTCTGAAGTCTCCTAATGGATATGCTCTTCCCAAGCCCCCGCTGGGGTCCCCTTCCCCAAAACTCTTCAAGACACCCACCCACGCGCCAGCCATTCTGGATGAGCCTGGAAAGAAAGTCAAGAAACCGGCCTCCCTACAGCATTTCTCCCCTCCACCCAGCGCCAGTGCGCCGGGCGGCAGCAGGAGCGAGGGTCGCAGGCCAGGCTCCTGGGACGGCCGGGCCGCTGTCTCTACCTCACCCCGGGCCCCAGCTGCAGGGACCCCCAGTGGGCTTGGGCTCCAGGCGGGTGACGAGGGCCCCACTCCTAAGGGGAGGGGCTCCAGCCCTGAACACCCCACCAGCAGGCCCCCCCAGGCCCCCCGGAGCGGAGCCGCCCCCCTCGGAGATTCTCAGGGAACCCACTCCACCACTGCCGGCCCTGCCAAGGTGCTGCCGGCCCGACAGGACCCCGAGCCGGAGAAGGCCAAGTGCCCCATCCCAAGCGGCGCCAGCCCCGAGCCAGCCAACGCCATGTCTCCTCCTCCGGCCAAAAAGCTGGCCCTCTCTGCCAAGAAGGTGGGTGTGTGGGAGGCTCGACCCCGAAGGGTGTTGGTAGGAGCCAGGAAGTGGGGTTGCTTTTAGCTTTGGGGAGGGCGGTGAGACAATGGCTGAGGGCGTCCTGCAGTGTTGGAGGGACACGGGAGCTGTCCTGGTGCGGGCGGGGGCAGCAGCAGTGTGATCAGATGAGGCTGGGGGCCGATGGGCCTCCATTTCTGTGGACAGATGTCCTAAGGGAGCCTCGGGGATGGGCCCCAGCCAGGAGCTCTGAGCACAGGGCCACATAGGCTGGCCGGCACCTCTATGTGCAGCTTGATGCGCTGTGATGTAATTGTCCTACTGAAGTTTTTGTTTAAACGTCCTTCCTTTTTTCCTTTTTGTTTCTAACCAAAAACACTTCTGATTCTTCTTCTATCATTCCCCCCCTACCCCTCACACTCCCTTTTTTTGTTCTTCTGTCCTCTCATTCTCCCTTCTGGGCTCTTTTTTTTTTTTTTTAATTTTATTTTTATTTTCCTCCTCACTCACGGCAACCTTTTTTAGACCACCAAGTTTTTATTTATGTCAATAACTGCAGGCCAGCACCCTGCGGAGGGCAACCGGCAATGACCTCCGTCCACCTGCCCTCTCTCCATCCTCCGACCTCACCTACCCCCGGAAACCCACTCACCCCGTCGCCGCCACCACCTGGCCTGTCAGTGCAATGCGGTAAGCAGGGCAGCAGCTCCTCCCTGTGGGGCCGGTGCAGAGGTCTGCCCGGTGTCTCCTCTGTTCTCCTGCCCAAGGGGCTTCCGCGGGCACAGGCAGCTTGGTCTCTGCGGTCCTGGCTTTTTTTGACTCTGTCTTCATCTCCCGTCCGCCTGTCACATGCACTTGGTGATGGATGTGTTTGAACTGATTTCCCTGGGGATCCCCAGTGCCGAGACAGGACCCCAAAGTGGAAGGCCGGGGTTGCAGGGGTGGTGGGTGTTTGGACAGGCGCCGTGTGAGCTCAGAGTCCTGTGTTCAGGTTGTGTCTCCTAGCAGCGCTCCGGGGCTTATCTTGGGGCAAGGTGGGGTCTGTCACCCTGGCTCTCAGGGCATTCCCAGTGGGCTCTGGGGGCTGCTGCAGGGACCGTGGCTCCGTGGGGCTTCTCAGCATCTGGGTAGATGCCCCTCTGGAGGCGTGGGCTGTCGCCTCCCAGCCCGCTTTGCACAGGGACGCTTGAGTCCCTTCAGGTGTTGAGGGCAGAAGGCCCAGAGTTACTGATAAATGGCTGTCTGAGAAGTGAGGCTCTGCCTTTGACAGCTGGGGAGGGAGGGAGGAAAGAAGGAAGGAAGACAAGGCAAAGCCACAAGGTGGTTTGGACGGGTTCAGCATTTACATGGCGCCATTGCGCCCTCTCTGCCCCCCTCATTCAAGGCCCTGCACTTAGGAGCCTGCTATTCCCTTCCCCCAGCCCCCTCCTACTCTCACTGCTGGCACAGGGCTTTTGCACTTGGTAGGTCCTTAAACGGAAATGGCAGTCTACTCCAGTATGCCAGCCTGGGAAATCCCATGGACACAGGAATCTGGCGGGCTACAGTCCATGGGATCGCGGAAGAGCCGGACGTGACTTAGTGACTCAACATACACAGAGACACAAGTTAGCAACACACACATTTGACAGGAAGGAGACCCAAGAGTCTCGCCTGTCCAGTCCTGCCCCTTGCTCATCTTGCTGTATAGCTGGCTGGAAAGTCTGTCTCCCAGATCTTCATAAACCCCAAGTTTCAGAGAAAAATCCTAGGAACGTAATAGCAAAAGACAGGTAGGCTTATATCTGCCTTTCTTGTAAGACTTAACTGCCTGTGCTCAGACACGTGATGCTTGTGGAGGCTGGACGTTTATTGCTTGGTGGAGCTTTCCTCTGAACACATTGGTATTGAAAGTTTAAAACACTGGAGTTTGTGAAAGTACTTTGGACTACCTGGTGACAAGAAACCAAGATATGTAGTGATTTTTATGAACTTTGATCTTGAGGTTTGAATTTGCTTGTTAGCCTATGTTTTCTAACTGCTCTGAAACATGTACATATCAGGTTTACCGGGGAAAGTCATTGAAAATCCTTACCTGAGAGGGATGGAGCTGAGGGAGGGCAGGGCGGGAGAACTCGGCCTGTCCTCACTGCCCACCTCTCCCTGCAGGGCTGTCTCACCTGCTCCCAGGCCCTCCAGCCATCTGAAGCCCCCCTTCGACCCCCGTCCCCCATCACTGTCCAGCAGCCCCCAACCTCTCGGGACATCAGACCCACAGAGCTGCTCGCCCGCCTCTGCACCCCTGCCTCAGGTCAATGGGGCCTTCCAGGCCCCCCCATACCAGCGGCCAGAGGCCAGCGAGCCCCCCCAGAGCCTTGGTAAGAAGAGGAAGAAGACTCGCGTGGAAGGGGGCTGTGTCTCGGAGACCTGCATGGCCGTGGTGGCCCCGCCTGGGAAGAGGAGGAAGAGGAAGAGGAAGCACACGGGGGACGTGGATGCCACCCCACCGCAGGACGAGCGGACACCGGGGCCGCCCTGGAGCCCTGAACGCAGGAAAGAAGGCCGGGCGGAGCCATTGGTGGACAGAATGGAGGAAGAGGGCAGACACCAGGCAGGGAGCAGCCAGCGCCTGGAGAATGGCTGGCCCATGGGATGCATGACCGACGGCTCCTACGCGAGCAGCAGGAAGAGGAGGAGAAAGGGACTGGAGAGCTGTGACGGAGGAGACTGCCTCCCCGGGGACCCATCTTGGCACGGGTGAGAGCGAGGAGCCAGGCAGCCCTGCACCTCCACTCACTCACACACAGTCTGTTCCGGGTGGGTCTGTCTGGAAATATAGGCGCCCGGACCTCTGGGGTGTGACTGTGTTGTCCCGGGGTTTGGTGAGTGGAGGCATGTCCCGAATCTGGCCAGTACCATGTGTGCTGGGAGGTCACGTGACCCGGGCTGGGCTGGGCTCCTGTTGTCCAGTTTGTAGGACTTGCCTCGGTGAGGATTAAAAACGCACTCGTGTGCTCTCCTGGGCTGCGGCCATGGATCGCTGGTGCACTGTCCTGGTCAGGTTAGGGTGGTGTCTCCCGGAGCTCTTCTCCAGGGCCAGGCTCACGCCAGCAGAGTTCTCGAGGTGTCTGGGCTTCTGTTTGCTCGGAGCTGAGTGTCCGCTCTGACTTCCCAGGAGCTGTGCACCCTCGGACGTCGTCCAACCAGAGACCATTGCAACATCACTGAGGAAAAAGAAAAAGAAAAAAAAGAAGCAAGAGCCACGACAGGAAGTAGAAGAGAAGGAGCCTGAGGGCCAGAGGGGCCCGTCTGTTCCTGGGAGCACTCCCCTGCCAGCTGTGAACGGCCAGGCTCCCGGGGGCCCCACAGGTGTGCACGGGGCGGGGAGGGGGCGCTGAGGGTGGGAGCCAGCCTGCCGTGTGTGTCCAGAGGCAGGTGCGGTTCACTGGGGAGCCCTCCGCCCTGGGGGGAGCCGTCTGCCCACTGGCCTTCTCATCTGGTTGATCCTTCAGCCGGATCTACCCCACAGGAGAAGGCAGGACACAAGTAAATGTCTGCACATTCTGTGAGCCCAGCGTTTCTTCTGGTTCAGGGCTGTTCCCTTCTGAACCTTCCCACTGCAGTGTGACTCCTGGGCCGCCCAGCCTGGTGTTATCCTTTGCCATTTGAACCTGGAGCATTGAGTTCAGAAACTCACTTTCCTCTGCCTCTTTCAGTTGTGAGCCTGACTGACCATCACGCAGCTTCTTGCTTTTGAGGTGCTGTGGGTCTGCCCAGGCTGAGGCCCCCGCCAGGCAGCTCATTTGTGTTTTGTCTTCTCTCTCTCTCTGGCTGGCGGGACTCACTGGGCTCTCCTGGTGGCGTGTGTCTGTTACACGAGGGAGGAGACGGTCCTCAGCTCCTCCGGAAGGGGCCCAGATCTCAGGGGATCCGCTGTTGTGTTAGTTCTTTGAGGGTACACTGGCCCCTGGGGATTGACCTGGAGTTTGTACAGGACTCCAGAGAAATGCATCCATGAATGAACATGGAGTTTTGATAATTACACGGCAAAGCACTAACTGCTAGGCAGTGAGGAGTGGCTGCGGCAGGCGGCCGGAGCATCACTGGAGAGAGGGCTGCAGAGAGTGGCCGTCACCAGACCACGGCATCGTCTGTGAGCCCGCTGGCCCAGCTGGGGTGCCGGGGCTGCGGGGAGACCCAGTGCCGTGTGCCCGCTCACAGTCCCAAAGTGGGGACAGGCCTTGGTGGCCGAGAGTCGGCTAGAGCTACAGCTGTCCGTGGCTCTGCGTGACCACCGGGCCCGAGCTGTGCTGAGGAGCAGCCAGTGGGGCTGGTGGGAACAGGCTGGGGGTGGACAGTGGACGCTGTCCTGCTCAGAGCACTGAGCCTTAAGGACACAAGGTCACTGCCAAGTTGGCGGCCCAGAGAGATGAGGTGAGGCTCGTGTTTAGGACGGCGAGTCCATTCTGGCGGTTGGAGGTGGTTGGGGGGAAGGGCAGAGGCCAGGGCCAGCTCAGATGTCTTCTCTAGAACCATGATGAGGGGCAGTCAGTACTGTCTGTGCAGATGTCCTTTCTTGCTGGCCAGGCTCTCTGAGGACAGGGCCGGCAGACAGGAGCTGCCCCACCAAGCCGCGGTGGCGGTGGAGAGAGGCGCCTCGTCCCTCCAGTTCCCTCCGCTCCGTGTTTCTGCTGGTTCTCTACAGGCGAGGAAGAGAAATCGTTAACTCTCTTGCCACAGGCAGGCAGAAAGAGCTCGCTTTTACACATTCTCAGTAATTTGTGATTAGTAAGTTTTGCAGCGCTGTTGTAAATAAAAGGTGTGTGATCATTTTCTCGGTGATTTAAATGTATGTAAATGTTCCTCTGATTACAGGGCTGAGACCGGCTCCACTTGCATCCTGGGACAGAGAGAGAGAATCCGATGTGGTCCAAGAATTGCTAAAATATTCATCTGATAAAGCTTATGGGAGAAGAGGTACTGTTTTGCGAACTGACCTCTATTTTCCTGCGATTGGGTTATGTAGGAGATAGAGGCCTGAAGCAGGCCTTCTATGTTGAGCCTTGTACACAGAGATTGCTTGGCTCTGAAGACAGGAAAAGGAATGTGAACGTCAGTTGTACCCTCTCTGGCCTCCACAGCCATTGCGTGCAGGTCAAGGACCCTGCAGTTGGGTTTAGTCTGTGGAAGGATCTGGAACAGCTTCCCCCTGGGGTCTAGGAGCAAGGAGAAGGCGTGTGTGCCTCAGGGTGGGGATGGCTTTGGACAGAAAGGCTCATCCGACTTGTGTGCTGTACGTTCTTATTTAGAACAGTATTTTTCTAATTCGGACTTGGAGAAAGAACACAAGGTCTTTGTCTCTCAAATGAGAGCAGGGGTTTTTATAAACTAAATTTTGAGGATTGGTGGCAGAGAGAGTTAACAGTGTTTGCTCACGTGACAGAGTCATTGACTGTCCTGCAAACCAGAGGCCACGCCGCCCCTCTTCTTTTCTTTCTCTGTGGGTCCACTTTCACCAGAAGGCGGCACTCAAAAATGGTGAATCACTGGGAGTGGACCCTCGTATGTAAACTGCATCCTTGAAGTAAATCGCCAGGGCAGCTGGGAGCCCACCCAGGTCCTGACGCACGTGTCTGCCTTGCAGTTTTGACGTGGGACGGCGAGGTGTCGGCCGTCAGTCAGGACGCCATCCAGGACAGCAGGCTGGCCCGCACGGCCACGGTCATTGACGACTGGGACGAAGAGTTCGACCGAGGGAAGGTGTGACACGTGGTGGACCCGGCAGGGGGGACTTGGGTTTTCGGGGAGGTTTGAAGTGGCCGAGGGTGAGTCTGGAGCCTGGCTGCCTGGGAGCCTTGTGGCTGGGTGCATGGTCTCCGTTCCCCAATTGCTCGTGCTCCGCCATCAGTGAAGTCAGGGTCGTGGGGATACCTCCTGAGGGTCACGTGGAGGACAAACCTGTTTAAATCACACGTTGAGACTTGAGCTGTCATGCAGTAAGCGCTCGGAAGGAGCCACCAGGACCTGGGGGAGGCCTTGATGGGAATTGTGACACTGATTCTTGACGTAGGAGAAGAAAGTGAAAAAGTTCAAGAGAGAGAGGAAGAGAAACTTCAACGCCTTCCAGAAACTTCAGAGTAGACGGAATTTTTGGTCTGTGACTCATCCAGCTAAGGCTTCCAGTCTGAGCTATCGCCGCTGAAAGTGCTGCTGTCAAGATAGGTCAGTTTGTGTGCGTGTGTGTGTCGGTGGAGGGGTGTACGCATGTGTGTGGAGTGCGGTGTGTATGGTATGGGGTGTGGTGTGCACGCTCTGTCTCTGAGCTCCCTCTCAGTCATGTGTCGTGGCCTGTGTTGGACGCACACTTCAGGGATGATGGTGGGACCCTCAGGGTCTCTTCTCTCTCCATCAAGAACCATGTTCTCTGCCCCCACAGCCTCCAGAGACACGGCATCCCTCCCCGCTGATGGTCTGTCTGGACTGAAGAGCCACTTGCCGTGGACTCGCTGGCCTCTCAGTGTGGGGACGGCCCACAGAGGCCCTGGGCTTCTGCCCAGGTGAACACGACGTGCACTGTGACAGACCGCGTGGTGACGCAGGGAGCAGGGGCAGCACAGCGATGGGAAGCAGGGTGGGGCCGAGTGCCCTGTGATGCTGGCCGGCAGCGTTCAGCCTGGGGCCGTGGGGGGAGTGGGGAGGACGCGGCCGAGCCTTCCAGGGTGACCGCGAGCTCCAGAGGTGACAGCGTGTGGCCAGTTGCCCTTCTCTGTGGACTGTGCGACGCCCACTTCCTCCCGTGGGGGCTCTGTATGCCTTACCAGTCCACCCTCAGAAAGTCAGAGCCCTAGGCTGGCCCCACGCTGCAGCCTCTCTCTTCTTTTGGAGTTGGGCGGAGGGCAGTGCGTCTCTCCATCTCAAGAAAAAGACTCCCTCTGGAGAGCGGACGGCCAAGCTGGGGCGGGTGGGGGCCAAAAAGATGCGACAACACACCTACTGCTCAGGCTGCTACTGTTCCAAGGTGGCTTTGCTGGACCTCCCCGCTCCTGCCCCCAGCCCTCGCAGCTGCAGTAACCCCGGGGTCCTTACCAAGGTGGTGTTCTTGGGGTAGATTCCTCCTTTTATTTTACTACTTGATATAAAACATTTATTTTTGACCAGGCCTGTGGCTTCCATTAGCAATATGTCTCCTTTCCCTAATATGCAAATACTGGCTTCGTTTGCTCAATTTTGTGAGTGCTTTTGAATTGAAGATGATTGTGTAACTGGAGACGATCACTGTCCCTTTTTTTTTTTATCCTGTTCAAGCTGTGCCTGCGAACTTGTAATTTAATAAATACGGGAAATCCTCAGTGAGCTGATATTGTTCAGAAAAAAGACCAGTGTCCCAGTGGTAGAAGGTACAGAAGTTAAGTCTGAAGATTATCCCTCAGCACATGTCCTCTTGGGATCACTTGCTGTGGGCGTGGCTCAGTGTCTGGCCTGGTCCTGCCCTCCAAGGGGTCTCCTGGGCCTGAGCCCCAGTGCACTCGTCCAGCCCCTGCTTTCTTCCTCACCAAGCTTTGCCCTTTGTTCTGGGACCTGGGGGACCCAGGTGGTGTCGAAAAAGCATTAAAACATTTTTTATACGGGGAGATAACATTAATTTTTTCATGTGGGTGGTGGTTTTTGTTTTTCCCGGTTTTGTATTTCTCTCTTAAAAGGTGGGGAGGATAATACCCGGTGACCTGAGCTGGGGCTGCTTTGGCCCCAGCAGATGGGAACTGAGCTCTGCCTGGACTGGCCAGGGAGCCTTTTTCTGGAGGCCTGACTCCCGCATGTCAGCCATGCCTGCTCAGAACTGAGCGGCCCGCCCCGGTGCCCTGTGACTTTGTCATTTGTCATCTCAGGAGGGAAGGCAGGTGCCTCCATGGGCAGGAAGGATTTTCTTCTCCCCATCTGAAGATGTCAACATTCATTCCTGTGTGAACTGTTTCCCTGACCATATTCTTGTTATGTTTTGTTGGTTGGAAAAAGAAAAATTCTGTTGTCTGCTCGCACAGAATTTATCTCCTTTTCTTTCTCTCCCTCTTCTCCAAATCAGTCTCTCCTTTCTCCACTATATAATTACAACACCTTTTTCTGAGGAGAAAACATCACCCATTTTCTCCCAGGCAGTGATGAGCATTGGCCTGACTCCACAGCGTTTATCACTGTTAGGTAGCCAAGTCCTCCAAACTGAGGGAAAGGAGTGGCCCAGAATGTGAGCCCAGATTCTGGCTGCATACACATCAAGGTAAAGAACTGAAGCTTTAGGGTGACACTTGTTGACTGAGAACATGAGTTTAATTTAACTTTGTGTTTGTGAAAGGGGCACCTCTCCTGGTGGTCCCAGTCCTCTCACTCCCTGCCTCTCCGCCGGGGTCCCTGGTTACACCAAGGCCCTGTGTGTGCAATGAGCCCGCAGCTCATGGCCAGGGACCGAGGGGCCACAGATGTTGCCAAGATCTCACTGCAATAAAATAATGAGTTTTTGTGAGACCTGCCTGTGTCTTTTCCCTCTAGCTTTTAAAAGGCTCCCCCCCGCCCCACCTACTTCAGTCCACTGGACCCGTTCACACGCGACGTCAGCCTTGGGTGCTTTCTGTCACCCGTCCGTGAGTGGGAGCCAGGCACTTCGGGCAGTCTGGGGGGGAAAGCTTAGAGCAGGTCTTCATTAGGAATAAAGAGATTTATCTGAATGTCTTAATGTTATACATACACTTACCCGAATTTAAGAAGGCAGGAATCCTTTGAAGTGGCTCCCTGAGCTTTGTTGATGATTTTCAATGAGCATCAGATTGAAACATGGAAACAGTTATCATTCCACAGAGGTCTGTTGTTTGAAAATTTTTGTAACCGAATCTTTGGATTTCTGTAGGTAAAGATGAGGGAGACATCATAGGTTTTACCAAACTGAGTTTTTCTGACAGCTGTCAAGGGCGATGCAGGCCTCCAATCTGGGGACACTGCCCCTGCTCCCAGCCTGGCTCAGGCACAATGATGTAGTCAGGTCGCCTTCAGCCTTGGCCTGAGTGGACGTGCCTGGCTACTGCCTCAGCCACATGCTGAAGGCCCTGGTAAGGAAGGCTTGGTTCCTGCATGGACTGGAATTCAGTGGCCCACGTGAACATTGCTGGTCTGGTCAGGCTGGGCCTAACAAGCAGGAAGGTCAGGGTCTGGCTGATCGCATGTGTCCTGGAAGTTGGGGCAAGGCCCGGAAGGGCATTGGGCCCTGCAGAGCCCCCCATGATTGGGAGGTTACAGGCGGCAAGAGCAGCACCAGTGAGTGGGTGACAGTCCAGGGCAGGTTTCTGGTGGGTGGGTTTTGGTACCCAAGCCCCACAGCTCTTCACCCCTTCCTTCCCTTAAGGGATGCCCTCAGACACAGGACTGTCTCTACCCTGGTCACCGTGGGGGTATGGCCAGATGGCTCAAAATGACAGCAAAGTAGGTGAAGCGAGGCATCAACTGGACCCAAACCAGAGGGGGTGCTCGGCAGGTGGGCGAGAGTTTGGGGTGACTGAGTACAGCTCACAGGCCTGTCCGGCCAGCTGAGCTTGTGTCCAAAGGTTGCACATCACAGGCTGGGTGGCGGCCAGAGTTGCACCACAAATCCAGTGCAGGGGTCATACGAGCCAGACCAGAGCTCTATGCATGTTGTGGTTCTGTAAACATGGCCAAGTTTTCCCTGTCAGCCTGTGGTCTCAAGCTCAGAGCTGCCGACTCCAGTGGGAACCAGGAGGAGGCCCAGCTCTACCAGATGTGGCCTCAGAGACGAGGGGAGCCTGTGAACAGATCGTTGGCCTGTGAGCAGTCTCTGGCCAGCCAGGTTCCCTTGACTGACACGGTCCGGTGACAAAGCGAAAGCCCAGGGTATTTCTTATTTGATAACTTCAGCAGGAACCTCGTCCCTCCAGCCTTTGTGTGTCTTTCAGGCTCTGGTGAGTGCCTGGGCTATTTTCAGCAAGAGAATACAAGGTCTGATTCACTCTACACACCCGAGGCAGACAACTATGTGTGTGCGGGCCAGGGGGTGGGGATGGAGAAGATGGGCAAGGATGACCAGTTCAACAGGCCGGTCAAGAAGTGTTCCTGTCTGGAACTATGACATGGCAGTAACTAGACAGGTGGGGCCACCTGGGTACTTGGAATCGAGAGCAGAGGTAACAAATACGGTGGAAAGTTCAGGGCCGGGGGAAGACCTCTGGCTTGGCAAGTGGAGTGGTAGGGCACCGTTGTACCAGAGATACACGTGGGGCTGTGATACAAGCCTGCGATGTTAGCATGCTATCAGAACAGGAAATGGGAAGAACCACAGGTACAAGAAGGATGTGACCACGGAGCTTGGCATCTCCCGACTAAGAAAAAAGCGCAGTTGTCTGAACATCTAGGGAACTAGGTGAGCATCCATTAGAAGCATGGCCTAACCTCAGGAGTCAGGAGTTAGCAGTGAAAGGCTGGCTGGTGTGATGGAGTGGGAAAGGCCAGGGTGTGAATCCTGCCCAGTCTTGGTAGCATAGATAGCCTCGGTGTAGACAGGACCTGGGTGAAACGAGATTCTGGGAGAAATGAGGTTCTGGGAATCCTCTACCCCTACCAGGGGCCAGCCTGAGGCGTGACACCTGGTAGGAGCTCAGCAACGTGATTCCTTCTTGGCCTTTGGGACCTTGTGGCTAGTCACCTGCACCGGCTCTTTCCCTCTAACCCATACTCACACGTGTTTGATCCCTGGGTTGGGAAGATCGCCTGGAGAAGGGCATGGCAACCCACTCCAGTATTCCTGCCTGGAGAATCCCATGGACAGAGTAGCCTGGCAGACTACAGTCCATGGGGTCGCACAGAGATGGACACGACAGAAAAAACTTAGCAGGCATGTACAGGTATGGAGGGGCCCCTGCTGCACACACCCTGCTGGTCCAGCCCCAGGCACGTCCTGCTCCTTCCTTCCCCACTCCCTCAGGACCAACTGGTTCTGTTGGGGAGGACCATCCGGCTACAGAAGCTGGTGACCATGCTGTTGGGCTCTGTCTTCAGACGGCCCTGCTCTCCCATCCCTTCCGCAGTTATCACATGTTTGTGCCCTCTCAACTGCCTGTGTGCCCCTTACTCTTGCAAATGATTTTCATCCCACTCCAAAGTAAAATAGTGAAACACGAGAAAACCAAAACTGAAACCAGCTGCTTTCCCTCCGCTTGTGATCTATTCCCCTTCTAACACAGTGGTTCCAACACTCATGGAGCAGCAAAATCACCTGGGAGAGTTATTTAATACTAATTTAATTGACAGTGAATGTGCCGGAAACGAGACTCTTGAGGGTGAGGCTCAGGCATTGGCGATTGAACCCTTCCTGAGTGATCCTACTGGGCAGCCAGTGTTGAGAGCTGCTGTGCCAGTTCCAGGTTTGAGGGTCAGAATCACCAGGGGGTCGTGAGAACACAGGTTGCTGGGCCTCAGCCCCTGACATTCTGGTTCAGCGGGCCTGGGCTGAGGTCTGATAATTTGCAATTCTAACATGTTCCTGAAAAGTGAAAGTGTTAGTCGCTCAGTTGTATCTGATTCCTAGTCCGTCAGGCTCCTCTGGGATTTTCCTGGCAAGAATACTGGAGTGGGTTGCCATTCCCTTCTTCAGGAGATCTTCCCAACCCAGGGATCAAACCCAGGTCTCCTACATCAACAGGCAGATTCTTTACCATCTGAGCCACCAGGGAAGCCCCTAGGGACGCTGACCCCACTGCTGGGCGGGGACCACACTCAGTTCTGATCTAACGGTTCTTACATGGAATGGTCAGTAGGACCCTCTGGGGACCTCAGCGTGCTCTCCAGAACAACCTCTCCCAGCCCTTGGGGACCTCACCTCCTAGCTGCCTCTTGTGTCTTGCTCTTCCCCCTTCCTTCTCTCATGAACATGTTCAAGTGTCTGCCGTCCTAAAAAAGCCCCCTTGTTTCCATGTCCCCTCCCTGCCACCCTCTCCCTCAACTTAGCTTTGATTTGCCTTCTGCTTCATTCTCCTCTTAGTCTGCCTTCTGCCTGCGTCACTCCACTCAGTGATCCAATTCCCAAATTTGATGAGCGTTTGCCACGACTTCTTTTCAGGATTTGATACTGATTTCATCCCCCTCTCCCTGAAGAGCTCTTCTTTTTCTGTCCCTTAAGTGTTAAATCTGTTGGATCTGGTGAGCCCTGGATACTTAGATGGAGCCAGGATCAATGTACTCCATTGTCTCATCAATATATCCAGAGGGTGCTTGTGGATATCCTACTGGCACATTCGTGGCCCAGACAGAGCTCATGGCTCTGCCTGCCCTCCTCGGTTCAGTCCAGTCTCTCAGAGCCTCTCAGGGGACTCTGCTACAAGGCACCTTTATGTGGTTCTTTGCTCTACAGTGTTACAAGTGATCCCTGTTCCATGTACTTCCTTCTCCCTTCTTAGGTGTATTCCTCTGTGTTCTGCTTTGCACGGCCTTGGTGAGACGCTTTCCCTTGGCAGAGACCGGTGGGCATTGACTCTATCAGGTCTCAAATTCCAGCCGCCCCCCACCCACCAAGAAGTCTTGGTGGAAGGGATGAATCAGACAGGAGCATGGTTGGTAACCGTGCCCTGGTTGAAAGTAAAAGTTACTCAGTCGCGTCCAACTCTTTGCAGTCCCATATACTGTACAGTCCATGGAATTCTCCAGGCCAGAATACTGGAGTGGGTAACCTTTCCCTTCTCCAGGGGATCTTCCCAACCCGGGGATTGAGCCCAGGTCTCCTGCAAATTGCAGGCAGATTCTTTACCAGCTGAGCCACCAGGGAAGCCCAAGAATACTGGAGCGGGAAGCCTATCCCTTCTCCGGCGGATCTTCTCGACCCAGGAATCGAAACAGGGTCTCCTGTATTGCAGGCAGATTTTTTACCAACTGAGCTACTTTTTTTCCACAAGTGAAAACATTTTGGCAGGTCTGGCGGGAACCAGAGCATTAGCTCCTCTATTTGAAGTGAGAGCCTGGACTATGTGGCACGTGGCCAGCTGTCTTTCGGGCGGCAGGGGAACAGTTGGTGACAGCTGGATACAATCAAGATCCATTACAAACAGATTTCCAAGTGCCATTCACACACAGAAGAAATTGCACGCTTTAGCAAAATAAAATCTGGGGGTTTTCAAAGCAAGACAATGCCCCAGCCTTGGCCCGTGTAAGCAGTCGAGTTCCTCTTCTCTGTAACCACACTTCCTTCCCCAGCCCCACCTCCCTCTCGAGCGCAGGCTAGGGGGATTGGGGGAGGCTGGCGAAGCTGGCAAGGGTTCTCCCTAGGCCGGGGCGCCCATGCCCTGCCTTGTATTATGAAGGACACCCCTGTCTAAACCTGGGTGGGGAGAGGCCCAAGGCTGGCTTCTAGCAGGGCCTCTGGCCAGCCTCAGTCAGGCCTCCCACCTTGGTCTCAGGGAGAAGGAAGGGTTCACAGAGTGGTTGGTGGGTGACGGCTGGCAGGCCCAGCTGAGCGCATTCCTCGCCTAT